TGTATTACTTGCTGTCAAGAGAAGGTAACTTCTTTCTTTCAACTCTTTAAATAAATAGCATATGGGACCAGCCCAGTGGCTCAGTTAGTTAACAGCTTGCTCAAGAGTGCAAGCTCTGAGCAACAGGGTCGCTGGTTTGATTCCCACATGGGCCAGTGAGCTGCACCCAGGCTGAGCTGCCGCTGAGCTGCCAACAGGTGGCAGGATGGCTCAGCTGGTGAGAGCATGTGCTCCTAACAAGGATGCCGGTTCAACTTCCACATGGGATGGTGGGCTATGCCCACCCACAACTAAGACTGAACATGGCATCTTGAGCTGAGCGGCTGCAAGCTGCTAATTGGGCGGCTGGATGGCGACTGGACTTGGAGCTGAGCTAGCTGCGTTCTCCTCAACAAAGATTAAAGGGCAACAACTTGGCTGTTCCCCTTCCCCAATTCTGCAACACTGTTCCCCTTCCCCAATTCCCCAATAAAATCTTAAAAAATAAAGAAAAAAAGAAAAAAGAAGTTAGGTCAACTTTAAAAAAATAATAAAAATTTTAAAAACTAGCATATGACCCATGAATAGCCTATGACTCTTCTCTCTCAAATAATTCATTCAATATGTCGGCATACTGTCTGCAATTCCCATAAGCTCTGCTTTATACTCTTCTCAACATCTCAGCTGTGTTCTTAACCAAGCCCCCATCATCTCTTTCCTGGATTCTTGCTTCTTCCCTTGCCACCTCTCCTCTTCCTCTAGTCTAATATCACCAGATAGCTAGAGGGACCCTTATCAAATAGAAACCAGATCTCATGCCTCTGCTCAAAACTGTCCAAGGACTTCCCACTCACTCAGAGAAAAACTGAAGTTCCCCAGTAACCATTAGGGCCTGATGTCATCTGGCTCTCATTGCCTCTCTGGTGTTATTTCTTACTCTTCTCCACCTTGCTCAGTGAACGTCTTTCATACTAACCTCACTTTTCCATGAGTACGCCTCAGGGCCTTTGCACTTGCTGTTCTCTTTCCCTGGAAGATGGGCCCACCTTTGCCAACTTTTATAAAATTGCAAGCCCCTCCCAGTACTTCATGCTGTACTTTCTTCCCCTTAGCAATTACTAATATTATATGCATAATATATATTTTCGTGTGTATGTGTATATATTTACTTATATGTATTTTTTTCGTGTGTGTGTGTGTGTGTGTGTGTGTGTGTGTACTTATTTGTTTTGTACCTAAGTTCTAACAGGGCAGGAATTTTTATCTGTTTTATTCATTGTTGAGTTCTTAGTACTTAAAGCAGCACCTGGCATAGAATGAGTGTGCAATAAATACTTGCTGAATGAATTAACTATTATCAAGATGGTATAATTGATCTACTTATAATTATCTTGCAATGACTGCAATGTTATGGATTTTCTCCCATGTTCTGCATGATTCTATAGAGGAAGAGTGCTCCATTAATAGAAATGCAATTCATACATTCTAAATAATTCAAAAGTCATCCATGATTTGACTACTGATAGAAAGGAAAAGATACACTTCTTATTGATGATGATGATTTCAAAATAGGTACCAAAGTGTCCATGATGGTCATAAAATAAAAAAAAAAATCTAAAACAGAAAATGTGAATTCATCTATATGAGTGTACCTAGGAAAGGGATCTCTTTAAATAGGCACTAACTCACTGGGAAATAGTACTTTATTTGGGAATTTTGCTGTGCTTTTGCTTTCTCTGGGCTAATTGAGTTACAGAATAGTAAAGACCTAGGGAGGCAAAGCAAGCACTTATCTGCTGACTAATCAGGCTGGGGCAAAGGTTTTAAGAAAGATTAAATTTGACTATGTCCTCACTTTTATCATGAATTAAAGATTCTCTTAGTTGTGTTTCCTGACATTCAATGTTAAAAGAGATAAGATTCTCTTACTATCAAACTGTTCAACTACAGAGCCTGTCTTTACCCATTTGGAGGTATAAACCTCTAAGTCTGTAAACATGTTTTGCATAATTTTTGGACATCATGACACACAGCTAGCGAAGGAGATACCAGTAATTCACAAAATGTACTTAGTGTTAATCATTTCAGATGTATACAGAGTCATAGTAAGCTTTCTGAGTTTTCTTCTTTCTTTTCCCACCTTGAACTAAGTTCTTTGTTTTATGTATAAAGGGTTGAAGCTGGGCCGGCCGAGTGGCGCGATGGTTAAGAACTGGCTTGGGACGCCAGAGGGCCCCGGTTCAGATCCCACATATGAGGGCCAGTGACACTGCCCTCCGCAGCTGAGATGCTGAACAACAGCTCGACCTGGAGCTGGGCTGCCATGAGTCATCGGCGACGCATAGGCTGTAGCCCCTGCTGCAGTGGGTTGCCATGGGCTACTGTGTGTAGCCAGCAGCCAGCGTGAGCGGCCAGCAGCTGCAGTGAGCGGCCATCCAGAAGCCAGCAACTGATCTGCCTCACCAGAGAAGAGCGCAATGATGGTGCCAACTTGGGCCAGTGAAGCAACATCCTCCACAACTAGACTGAGGAACAAAAGAACAGCAACTTGTCTGTTCCCCTTCCCCCAATTCCCCAGCACTGTTCCCATCCCCCCAATTCCCCAATAAAAATCTTAAAAATAAATAAATAAATAAATAAAAGGTTGAAGCTGAAATAGCTATTAAAATTGTTTTCTCTTTGTTGCAGCTGTTTATAAAACACTTGATTTAAGTAAGAGTGCTTCTGATGGTTTCTAAATCTAATAACACCATATAGATACAGGCTTATTGTTCAACCAAGGGACAGTTGATCTTAATTGTTTGTGAGAGGGAAAATTAATTTGCCTGTAATTTCCTGCTGCTTTCTAAGCAGAGAAGAACCTGCAAAGTCCCCTCTTCTTGCTGAGCTGGCTGGGGCCCTAAGGAGGGGCTGCAGAGCTCCGAGGCTGTGTGACAGCCCATCGTGCCACTTATGCAAAGAGTGGGGGGGGGGGCAGTGAAAATCGGAAGCCAAGCAAGGGGAAAGGCTACTTATGAAGAAGTTTCCAGAAAGAGAAATCCGAGTTGTTAGTAGTGGATAGAAGATTGTGGGATAAGGGAGAAGCAGGGAAGCTGCCACCCAGAGAAGAACATTTGGAGGCAAGGGGAGGCAGAAATGCTTAGATAAGTTTTTATGAAGTTTTGCTGTATGGTGACATCACGCTTTTCCAATTGCCGTTTTTTCCTAGAGTGTATTAAAATAAATACCTAGCTATTCAAATTTTTAAGATGTATAACCAAGCAAAATTATCTTATATAGAATCAAAATAATAAGAGCAGTCCATCATCATACCGTGGTCAGCACAACTATATAACAAAGGTCAGAATAATCCTCCTCAGCTACCTGCTCCGATTCCAGTAGATGAATACTGTAGTCTAGATATCTTAGGAGACTCCTGAGAGATTTGTCATCTCTTTAGCAATGTGTCTTATTTGACAAAGTATTAGGCTTTTTGAGTTTTAACTAGTAAGTCATGAAATGACATTGAAAAGACCTCTGCAGAAGGAGCCCCAGATATGGAGAAAGGAGTTATGAAGCATTAAATATCAATATTTAATTAATTGAATATTGATACCTAGTGTTGATGGGATTCCAAATTTTGACAGAGTCAGAGTGGATCGGAGAAAGGACTGACATTATTTAGGACCATGCGACAATACAGAGCTTTTATTTCTTTGCATAAAAATTCTGAAACTTAGGAATAAGAATAAAAGATGAAGGAATGGTTTTGGAAGATAAAAGTGTTCATATGCTATCAATGTTGAGAAAAGGGAGTCTACAGTTGCTTAAGCAAGAACTTAAAGAACAAGACATGTTCAATGAGTATAGGAAAGATTTTTCTGGAAGCCTACAAAAGTGGAAAACAACATATTTAAATTTGTTTGTTTTTCTGGGGGACCATCCAACTGAGAGTCTTTCAAGTAATCTAGTTCTACTTTCCTGAGAATGAGAACCTATTCCCTTAAGGCCACTCATCTCACCATTTTTCTAATTCTCTCTTTGGGGACATTCTAGAAAAAGACTGCTTCTGTTTTAGAAATCCTCAAGCGTTGAGATCATTCTAACAGCTCTGGGAAAACCCCACTTATCTGACGTGTCCCAGGATCAGCATGCGTTCCGCACCATACAAAGAGAAACCAGGATGTCTGATTTCAAAGAGCTGGTCCCTCAGGCCTGAGGAGCAGACTCAGAAGCAAAAGACTTCAACTGCCAAGTTGTTCTCTTTATTGACCAAGCCAGGCTCCAGGTTCTTTGCGCAATATTTAAGGAAAAGCTGAGCAGAGTTACATAATCCGCCTTCCAGGGCCAAGTTCTATACACGCACACAGTAGTTCTGGGCACACAACCACCTCATTGTGGATTATCATCAGAGGCCTGGCTGGACCTCCTGCACCTTCCTTACTCAACTTTTCCTTAAAACGCCCCATACAGAGACGAAGGAGGGAAGGGGGATGGCGAATACGGGTAAGGTAACACTGGAGTTTGGGAACCTGATAAAAGCAACCTGAATGCTTCCTAAAACTGGAATGACTGTGTGAGTTCCAGCTGTCTGGGGCCGAGTCAGACAGACCGTCTCTCCTGGTGTGTGAGGCTGCCCGAGCTCATCATGTTTCCTGAAATGTAAAAAGAGCCTTCAGAGCAGGGGGGCTGCATTTGTCCAAAGTTGTCTTTAGTCCATGGGACTAGAATGTTACATGCACACAGACAGGGAGGCAACAGATGAAGGACGGCAGGTAAACTGTAACACTTTGAAACAATCTATTCCATTGGGATAGAGTATTATGATTTTCATGAGATCACTTGGTAATAAAATGCTCTTAAGGCAGACTGTGCTGCAGAAGTCGAATTGCTGGAAGGTTCCCCAAACACAGAGGACTGGCAAACTCAAACCAAATAAAACACTCGGTTAACATAATGACTAATTGCTTGTTTTTCAAATCATCTCTTGATATGAATAGAGGTATATGTATATTTTTTTCTCATCCAAGCAAACTATTTACCTCTTTCTCCATTTGTAATCCTTCTGCTCTAATATTTCTTTCAAATACTTCTCTCTTTTCAGTCTGGGGGTTGGATTTTCTGTACACGAGAATGTAGTCAATTCGACACTTTCCATCTCTGAAGTAAAGTCCATTTAATTTGTTTTTTTCCCGCACTGTCTGCATACAAAGAGAAAGGGACCAGTTTAAGATACTCATAGAACTAAGCCTTGGGTGGTGAACACACAATGTGATATACAGATGATATTTTGCAGAATTGTACACCTGAAGCCTATGTAAATTTACTAGTAATTGTCACCCCAAAAAACTTTAATTAAAAAAAATATTAAGCCTTGGGTGAGTATTGTTTGAAGATCAATTAAAACTAAATGCGTTTTTTTCCTGTGCTTTATCAAAATTACATTTTTATAGATGAAAAATGTAAATAAGAAACAAAATAAAAATTGGGAAAAGCATTGAGTCAATTGGACAAAACTTAGGACACCAAACAATATCGAATGTTTGGCAAGGATGTGGGGCAACTGAGAATTCTAACATTCTACAGGTGAGAGTGAAAATTGATATACTTACTCTGGAAAACACACTGACATTATCTTATAAAATTGAACATATGCATAAAATATAATCATAGAGGAACTTCTGATAAAGCAACTAGGAGACACATATATGAATATTCATAGCAGCATTGTTCATAAGAGTAGAAAACAAAAAATGAGAATCAATTCAAATGTCGATGAACAAATAGATAAATAAATTGTAGAATCGTCATACAATGGAGTATTATACAGCAGTGAAAAAGAATGAATTATAGTTTCCTCTAATTGTAAACATAAATCTTAAAAACAATAGTAACAGAAAAAAGTCAGTCACAGAAGACTTCACACTACATGATATCACTTTTTGTAAAGCACGAAATAAATCTAAAAAGAAGTTGTTAAGGCTACATGTGTATGAGGTAAAACTATTTTTAGAATAAGAATAAAAAACACAAAAATTCAGGGAGATGGTACCTCTGGTAGGGTAGAGAGATAGGACTGCAAGAATCTTTGATGGTTTTAGTAATAGTCTAGTTCAATGTTTCTTAAATATTTTGCCCACAATGAGAAAAACATTTTACTTTGTACTATTTGTGTGTATATGTAAACACACACAAAATATGTGAGACGAGTTTTACACAATAATACTTACCCCTTCTATTTGCATACACACTAATATTAATTTTCCATTCCATTAAAAAACAATTGGGGTTAGTAACCTACAATTAGATTGCCACTCTAATCTGAAAAATACCTTCCTAGGGGTTACAGGCTTATTGGGGTTATCACTTTGTGAGGTATAGAAATGTCTAATCACTATGTTGTTTTGTACACCTGAAATGAATAAAACAAAATCTCTTTTTTGCAAAAAAGAAAAATAACATCCTAGCTGATAAGATAGATGGTGGTTCAAGGCATTCATTTTATTATGCTTCAGAGCTGACATGTAAGTTAAAAATATATTTTGCAGTGATTATATATGAACAAATTAAATACCAAAAACAGTAGTCATTTTCATTCAGGCTCCTTGGGCTTGCTGTAATCATGTACAGCACTGAAAGCCCAAGCATGGGCTGCCAGGCTGACAGATTTCAAAAACATGTTTGTCGTCTAGCAAGTAGAAATGGGGGAGTTATTTTTTCTCCAGGCCACAGTACACATCAGTTTCCAAATATTAGTGTGGAGAAGGCAAACATGCCAGCCCACCAAGGCCATTGCTAGAATCCATATTCTTGCGCACAAGTGCCATGCATGCAACCTCATCTAAAAGGAACATCTCAGCCAGGAGGCACGGAAACACCATTGTCCCATACTCGGTGTAGACATTTACAATGCATGACCCATTCTCACTGACTATTTTTTGCCTTTGGCTTTGAGAGGTACTCAGAAGTCTACCCAAGTAAACACTTAGGTAACAATGATTTGCCAAACAAGGGAACTATCCTGTTTATGTAGCACATGAGCATCTGCCTGCCTGCATGGCTTCGGCTAAGGCCTCAGGAGGAGGGTTAGCAAAGCCCTAACCTTCCTGAGGCTGTTCCCTCATCTGTAAATTACGGGGATGAGACTAGTTGCTTTTTGAGGTACCTTTCAAGATCTCTCCTTTACATCACATCATGGCTTTCACAGTATCTGTGTGAAGAGATGACAAAATAAAATAACATGGATAGTAGTCTTTGTAGGGAGAGACCTGGGAAGCTTAGTAGAAGAAAGCAATGTTCTCTGTTCTAATATGTCATCCTTTCCATAGCTAACTGGCTCTGGGATAATAAAAACACTTAAGAATATGCAGTAAATAAATGACTCTTATTCTGTGTTCTTATTACCTATACCCAGTGCATATACAAAGGCGATATTAAACTCCACTGAGACACAACCTAAGCAAAAGTGAATGCCGCTGACAAAATACTTCTTTTCCAGAAATGAACAGATGGGTCTATTTACAATTACAATGAATTTCCAGATGACAGAGGCAAATGGAAACTCAGAGATGCTTGAGACAACACAATTTACTGAGGGCTGGTCCATTTTCTGTCATTGTTCTAGGTGCTGGGGGATTTACACAAGGAAATCCATCCTTGTAAAGCTTACTTTTTACTAGTTAGTGACACCAAAAATGTCAATTATCTTAAAATAACAGGTGGTTTTAAGACTATTCCTTTGTATACACAGAATGTCTTTAGGTATAAATGGGAACCGCATGACCCCCTGACAGTTTGTTTTCAGCCTCGGCAGATTTGGGACCCCTGAAATATACAAGACCATGGGGATACCAAAGGAATGTGAGACCTGCCCCTTGTTTTCCAGGAACTTACAGTTCAATGACATGACTACATTAAACGGTTCATTGAAATACGCTTTACAGGTTCCTGCCTGGATCAAGAATTGTGTTTTTCAGCATGGAGGTTCCTCACAAAATTAAAAATAGAACTACCATATGACCCAGCAATTCCACTTCTGGGTATTTATCTAAAGAAATTCAAAAAGATATATGCACCCCTATGTTCATTGCAGTATTATTTACAATAGCCAAGCTATGGAAACAACCTAAGTGCCCATCAATAGACGACTGGATAAAGAAGATGTGGTACATATATACAATGGAATATTACTCAACCATAAAACAGAATGAAATCTTACCATTTGTGACAACATGGGTGGACCTAGAGGGTATTATATTAACTGAAATAAGTCAGACAGAAAAAGACAAATATCACATGATCTCACTTATATGTGGAATCTAAAGAACAAAATAAATGAACATCAAAACAGAGACAGACTCATAGATACAGAGAACAAACTGATGGTTGCCTAAAGGGAGGGGTGTTGGAGCTGAGTGAAAAAGGTGAAGGAATTAAGAAGTACAAATTGGTAGTTACAAAATAGTCAGGGGGATCTAAAGTACAGCATAGGGAATATAGTCAATAATATCGTAAAAACCATGTATAGTGCCAGGTGGGCACTATAATAATCAGGGGGATCACTTTGTAAATTATATAAATGTCTAACCACTATGCTGTACACTCGAAACTAACATAAATTTTGAATGTCAGAAAAAAACTAATAGCAAATATGACTGAATTCAAATGAGCACAAATAAATTAACAATTGGCTATCCAATTTAAAATTAAAAAGAATAGAAATGCTTAGTAGAATGCAAATTGAAGACAAAAATTAAATATAATATTTACTCAATAGATTTTTACTGAACACTAAATATGTAACACTAGAAATTATGCAGATTCGATATATCTTAATTTTCATTATTAGTACGCTATTATGTATTCAATTTAAATATTTTATTAAATGTATCTAAACTTTAAAAAAAGAAAAAATAAGTTTAACTGTGAATCATATTAACGGATTTGGTTGCTAAGTTACCAGATAAAAAGCAAATAAATGTCAGTTTACATCGGGCAAAAAAATAAATAAATAAAATTGTGTTGTTTAAGAAATCACACACTCTTACCTCTCCTCCTGCTTCCAATCTGCTGGCGTCCTCCGAAGTACTGGTCAGGTTTCCAGGGTGAAGGAGAGAATCGTCATCTTTGCAGGGACTGTTGACAGCTTCTAATTCATCAAAAAGAATATTGACATCCTTGGCCACTAGAACAAAAGTAAATACATTACAAGTGGGATTAAGAATCTGGGAATCTTAAAAGCTATACTAAAAAAGAAGACAACTCCTTTTGGCTTAATATTTATTTCATTGTTTCAATAACATCTTGAATGACAGGTATTTATTTCCTAAGAGAAAAGGATGTCAGATATACAACATGTTTGACCAAACAGTGTCTTTACTAGGTGAGATTAAGGACAATGCGAAGCAAAGTACAGTACCTTCGTAATCAAAATATAACTTGCATTCCATGATAACAGAGGGTGTTGTGCTTAGCTTCCCTTCACTTAATTATTTAGCATAAGGTACTATCATTTAAGACTTCTAAGAACTCCCCTGTGTTGGAGATGACCTATACTTTTTAATTTTTTTTTCATTTAAGTGGCATACAACTTGTTAAGTAAACTCATAAATGTGCCACTTGCGTGGTTCACTAAGAACTGTGGCTTTATTCCTCCTTTGTTACTTACAGCCTAATAGAGAAAACCCAATGCAGCAATAAAGGATGTGGTCAGGCTTTTTGCCTTTCTTCTCCTCTAATCGTGGACTGAAATCATGAAGTGAGCCACTCAGGGGCTCTCTCAAAAGACTCTCGATGCTAACATGTCAATACATAAAGCCCTGTGCTTGTATATCAGAGTTCCAAATACAGAATACCATGTCCAAATTCACACAGTGCCTTGCAGCATATCAGAAAGTCAAGTTCAACACTGGTGGATAAGAAAGTGCTATGTCTTCCTGCCCTTGTGGTAATAAGTACACAAAACAAATCATCAAGGAAATGGAAAGTGAGGTGAGTGCTATAAAGGAAAGAACAGTTTGGATAAAGAGAGACAGGAGATAATGTATTTAGATGGGGCAACAAGGATCTTAAAGCTATATCCAAGTGTGTGATTTTAGGCAACTCATTTAACTTGAAGTGTTTCACCTGTAAAATAAAACAGGCATGGGAATAAAATTAACATTTATTGCTTACCGTGATAGGCTGAATCATGGCTCCCAGTGGTGACCTACTTCCTGGAACATGTGGATATGTTATTTTACATGGCAAAAGGAACTTTGTACATGTGATTAAGTCAAAACCAGAAAATGAGGAGATTATTCAGGATTATCTGAGTGGGTCAATGTAATTACAAGGGAGGCAGGAGGGCCAGAATCAGAGAATCAGAGAGAGACGGGAATACACTACGCTGCTGGCTTTGAAAAAGGAGGATGGGGCCACAAATCAAGGAATGCAGGTGGCCTGCAGAAGACAGAAAAGGCAAGCAAGCACGTTCTTTCTAGATTCTCCACAGGGAACACAGTCTTGCGAACACCTTGATGACTTCTGACCGCCAGAAGTGTAAGACAATAAACTGTGTTGCTTTACATCACTAAATTTGTGGTAATTTGTTACAGCAACAAAAGAAAACTAATATACTTACTACAGGTTTTGAAACTCTGAGGCTACAAAGTAAAAACATCGTGGTCTTTTCAGTGTTGTGGGAGCTGTCAAGTTCAAAGACGACTTCCCTGACCACCCTATGTCAAGTAACTCCCCCTCACCCAGTTATTCTCCATCTCATCTCGCTGCTCACGAATCTTTCACAGCAACTTATCAAGGTCTGTACTGTGTATTGTGTTTATCTGTTTACCTGTGTATTGGGTATTTCCTCTGTTAGAATATAAGTCCTCTACGGGCAGGAACCTGGTCTGTCTTGACCAGTGTACAGCGGCCCTAGCCTGGAGTAAGCCCTCAACACATGTCTCTGTTGAATGACAGAGTGATGACCTCAAAGCGGTCACTGTCTAATGATGTCTGAGTGCCTCCTTTTTTCCAACATTCTGTGGCCCTAGGACCTTGCATGTACATGTCTCCTAACTTGATTCTTATTCACAAGCCAAGAGCTCCACGGTGCCGAGTAGCTACTGATTACATTTTCAAGTCGATCGTGATTAAATGGGTTAGATTTGAACAACTGGGTAAAATAGTACGTTCACAAAGTCAGAAGACGTGCTTACCACTCCAAACTCTACCACTTAGCTGTGTGAATCTGTGCTCCTGTTTCCTCACTGGTATACAGGTATAGAAGGAAAGTTCTCTCTCAGGGTGGCTGAGAGGTGTATGTGAGATAAGTTACGTATTAGCAGGGTGGCTGACACAGAGATCTGCAAGCAATGTTGGCTGGTCCATTTTAGACTCTGGGACATTAAGTCAGCATTCTAGCCTTATTAATACAAGAAGGCAGGGGAGGCATTTATAAGCTGGAATTGCTGTTATGAGGGATGGATTGGTATGAGATGTGGGTTAAATCAGGGAGCTAATGAGGACACTGAAGTCCATGTCTAGGTAACTGGCCCAGACTGAGAAGAAACTCTTGAATACCCATTCATCCATTCATGAGAACTGCCCCTATGTTTCTGCCATGGATAGACAGATAATTACCAGGTCATCTTCTGCCAGGATCACTTTTTGGTGTTGGCACGATCAGTTCAATAGAGCCCTTTCTATCTGTGGTTCTCAACTGGGACCAAACTGGTACTCTGGAGACCTCTGGCATTTTCTGGAGGCATTTTTGATGTCCGGGGACAGTGCTAGGAGTATCTAGTGGGTAGAGACCAGGGATGCTGCTAAACATCCTACAATGCACAGAATAGCCTTGACAACACCTAGGTATCCAGCCCAAAATGCCAACCGTACAAAGGTTGAGAAATTCTGCTCTACATTAAAGGCCTAACTATATAATTTGAGAGGAACCAGATAACGTGGGAAAAGGGAGAGAAGCCCTTTGTTTTCCTTACTTTTGCCCAGCAGATTTACTGTCTGGGATTCCTGAATACTAAAGAGAAATCAGTATGGGAATGCCATCTGCTTTTTAGGGAATACATTTTAGATATGAAGGCACCATTATCACCTGCCACCCTCTCAAGAGCTTCCGCAGAGATTAGAAATGCTGATCTGTCAGGAATGCTCAGAAAGAAGACTGTCGAACATGGAAACTCCCCACAGACAGAAGAAATATGTGCCCTTCATCAATATTTCACTATTGCTACTGATTCATGAGCTTTAACTACAAGTTTAGTTTTATAAATGAAGCACAATGCCCTTTGATGCAAACTTACAACATTTTCTTTTTTAATTATTAGTGTCAGGTGTCCAAAACAATATAGTGATCAGACATTTACACCCCTCACAAAGTGATAACCCCAACAAGTCTACCACCCATCTGACACCATACTTAGCAATCACAATACCACTGACTATATTCCCTATACTTTACATTCCATGACTGTATGTTTTCTTTTAAGGGAAAACAGCCCCCAACTTCTGAAGTTAACCAATTTTTAAAAATCTATTCAACAAATATTTATCATGTGCCTACCATGGCCAGACCCCTGGGCTAGGAACTGGGGTTCAAGTACTGAACATGACACAGAGCTCACATGACCCTGTCCTCACAGAGCTCACTGTCCAACCAAGAAGGGAGTGGGGCCACTCTACGTGTAGGCATGAATGCTACAAATATGCTCTACATCCAAACAAGGTCACTTGTTAATGGGTCCTATCACCCCTTATATACTTTTTTCTCCAGTAAAAATACGTTTGATAAGCATCTGCCTGGAACAATTCTGCTATTAATTTCATTAAATAAGAAAGGGAGACAAAATGTTCTTAGGAGTTGATTACGAATGAACAGAGGGGGCCAGCCAAGTGGCTCAGTTGGTTAAGAGCATGAGCGCTGAGCAACAGGGTCGCCAGTTCGATTGCCACACAGGCCAGTGAGCTGTGCCCGAACTGAGCTACCGACGGGCGGCCGGATGGTGACTGAACTTGGAGATGAGCTAGCTGCGCCCTCCACAACTAAGATTAATGGACAACTTGGCTGTCCCCCTTCCCCAATTCCCCAATAAAATCTTAATTAAAAAAAAAACAGAGAGAGAGAAAGAATGACCAGAGGGAGAAAGAATGCAGAAATTCCAGTGCAACCCAAATAACGGACCTACATTGCATGCAGACTCAGGAAGGGCTGTATGAACAGAACCAGGCAGCTAAGATGCGTCAGGATAGGTAGTGACCATGCATTTGGGGAAGCAAGGGAGATACCCAAATGATTCTCTTGTGCAAAAAAAAGCAGTCACTCAGCCTAGAAAGACCTAAGGGAAAAAACAGCAGGAACTCACTTATAACAACTGAACAAAGGTAAAAAAACTAGCATAGCCTGGGAAGACAAAAAATCAGCTACAGAGTCTGAGTAAATCACCAAACTCAGCATAGCAAAGAGATTTCTGAGGGCTGGCTCACTACACTATCACAGAGAAGTCAGAGGGCCAGGAAACACGCAGGTCCTGACATTCTTTATGCGATGCGAAGGCAAATCTACTGCATAGTACTGAACCTACTCATCAAATATTTGCATTCATTTCAGTGATTTTTTCAGTGAACATCATAATTCATTCTCTAGAGAGATAAAGACCACAAATATACTGCAAGGGCTCAAACAAACAAACAAATAAGCAAGCAAACAAATTCTCTTCTACCATTTGTTCACTGAACCAACATTTAGTTTAGGTGCTCGAGACACAAACATGACCAAAACATGAGTGGGAAGCCTTGCACTTACAGATAAGAGGATAAAATCAAGGAATCAGTGTTATAAAGGCAATGAAAAAAAAAGGAAGTATTTTTTAGAAATAGTCTAAAAGAGAATAAGGAACAAATGCCAAATAATCAAATAGTTTGACTCACTGCTCTTTTCTTTAATTCTCTATTTTCCAAATGCAGCAGAGCAACTCCAGCTTGGTATTACAGGAAAGAAGTACTTTAATCTCAGTATTTTTCAGATGCAGAGAAAATAAAATGAAATTATAGGTCACTGAAGACATGAGAGAGCTGAGCAGCATAATCTCAGTATCTATATTTGTTCTCCGGAGTGCCAGTTCATTATACTATTTTTGTCCTGAGTTCTACATTATTACATCTGATACTCAGAATTCTGAAGGTATTGCA